GGCGGTGTGGACTCAGACACTCAGCGCCTTCTTTAGTGACCTCGCAGCAACATCGCCCTTTGCATAATGTTGGAGTGGTTTTAATAAACCCCCCCCCCCCCCCCGGGAGGTTGTTTTGCGCGGGGGTCTCTTGGGGCAGGGTCTGGGGTCAGGGTGGCAATAGTAAACCTCTGGCCTTCTCCGGGCCTAGTATACTAGTAGTAATAGTAATTAGTAGTAATAGTAGTAATATTAGTAATAGTAGTAATAGTAGTAATAGTAGCAATAGTAGTAATAGTAGTAATAGTAGTAATAGTAGTAATAGTAGTAATAGTAGTAATAGTAGTAATAGTAGTAATAATAGTAATAGTAGTAATAGTATTAATAGTAGTAATTAATAGTAGTAATTAATAGTAGTAATAGTAGTAATAGTAGTAGTACGTGAAGTCTCAACCTCTGGCATTCGCAGCACTTTGTGAAATGGCTCCGTTTATATAGAAATGGAATCAGGAACCGACCTCAAGTCTAGCTGCTGCAGTTCCTGGAATCCGGAGTCCCTGGCTTCTTGCCAAAGCCTGCAGCTTTCGAATACCAAAGCCTCTGGCTTCTTGTCCAAAGCCACTGGCTTCATAGCTTTCCCAAAAGCAAGGTTTCCCATCGGGAGCTCCTCCCCCGGATGAGTTTATTATTGCCACCCCGTTTATAATTGCCAGAAGAAGGGCTGCAAAGGGTTACCCTTGCCGGGTTTGTGAAATGGCTCCGTTTGTATAGAATTGGAATAAGGAACCGACCTCAAGTTTAGCTACTGCAGTTCCTGGAATCCGGAGTCCCTGGCTTCTTGCCAAAGCCTGCAGCTCTCGAATACCAAAGCCTGTGGCTTCTTGTCCAAACCCACTGGCTTCATAGCTTTCCCAAAAGCAAGGCTTCCCATGGGGAGCCTCTCCCCCGGATGAGTTTATTATTGCCACCCCGTTTATAATTGCCAGAAGACGGGCTGCAAAGGGTTACCCTTGCCGGGTTTGTGAAATGGCTCCGTTTATATAGAATTGGAATAAGGAACCGACCTCAAGTTTAGCTGCTGCAGTTCCTGGAATCCGGAGTCCCTGGCTTCTTGCCAAAGCCTGCAGCTCTCGAATACCAAAGCCTCTGGCTTCTTGTCCAAAGCCACTGGCTTCATAGCTTTCCCAAAAGCAAGGCTTCCCATGGGGAGCCCCTCCCCCGGAGGAGTTTATTATTGCCACTCCGTTTATAATTGCCAGAAGAAGGGCTGCAAAGGGTTACCCTTGCCGGGTTTGTGAAATGGCTCCGTTTATATAGAATTGGAATAAGGAACCGACCTCAAGTTTAGCTGCTGCAGTTCCTGGAATCCGGAGTCCCTGGCTTCTTGCCAAAGCCTGCAGCTCTCGAATACCAAAGCCTGTGGCTTCTTGTCCAAAGCCACTGGCTTCATAGCTTTCCCAAAAGCAAGGCTTCCCATGGGGAGCCCCTCCCCCGGATGAGTTTATTATTGCCACCCCGTTTATAATTGCCAGAAGAAGGGCTGCAAAGGGTTACCCTTGCCGGGTTTGTGAAATGGCTCCGTTTATATAGAATTGGAATAAGGAACCGACCTCAAGTTTAGCTGCTGCAGTTCCTGGAATCCGGAGTCCCTGGCTTCTTGCCAAAGCCTGCAGCTTTCGAATACCAAAGCCTCTGGCTTCTTGTCCAAAGCCACTGGCTTCATAGCTTTCCCAAAAGCAAGGCTTCTTCCCATTCTGCCACCTAAGGCAGCCTGAGTTCTTCTGTTTCACAGCTCTCTGGATGCCATTGGATCTGCCGAGGGGTGGAGTGAAACAGTCTGGAACTGCACTCTGCGAGCTTTTAGTTCAGTGTCGTCTGTGCCGATTTGCACTCTGCTGGCTGGGTTTAGGGTCCTCTTTGTTTGAGTCTCTGGTAAATACGTAGCCTCGTCTGTAGACTTTTGGGGATTTCTGAGCCCGAATATTTTAATTGTCACCCCGTTTATTATTGCGACTGGAAAATTATGATCAGTCGTTTGGCCAAATCTGCCCTTGCCTTTAAACTCCTCTTGCGCCCGGAAATTCTGGCCCGGGGAATATTTTAATTGTCACCCGGTTTAATAAAGCCACTCTTACATTAGAACCTCTCGCAACATGCCATCCGCGCCGGCGCCCAAGAAGGAACTGTGCGCATCCAGCCAAACTGCCATAACGCGCCAGCATGTCCCGGCGCTCGCGTGACGCCTCTCCAGGCGCCCACGGCACCAAACACAGCACCTGAGTCCGGCGCCTCGAGCCTGTCTCCTCCGCTTTTTTGTGGCGCCGCTACGCCGCTAGCACTCGAACGCAAAGCTGAGGCCCGGGCAGGCTTTGGCGACCGCGGCAGCCTTGGGGCGCTGGCGGCCTGTCGGAAGTATCGCCTCCAAGCAGGGGCAGCACGGGCTGTGCGCACCAACCACAATGTGTTGCAGAAAGCTCGGGTCCGGGCACTCGACTCCCGGCGCCGGCGGCTGTTGGAGTCGCTTTCAAGCTGTAAGTGCAGCCACGGCGGCAGAGAGTTGGCAGGGGCTGCGCCAAGAAGGGTGAGGTCTGGAAAGGGACGGCCCGACAGTGCCCCCGAAGGGCGAGGACGTCGACGCCGGTGCAGAAGGGCTGGTGGTCTGGACTCCTAGGTCCTTAGTACAGAAGGGCAGGGAGATGCCAGCTCGAGGGGTGGGTTCGTCCAGCGGCGAGGCTGGCTCGGGGCTGGCCGTGGACGCCGGGGTGTAGGTCGTCCTTCAAAGAGGCAGGGTGGACGACTGTGCACTGGGGACGGGGCCGAGGCCGCGACGGCCGAGGCCGCGACAACTCGTGGTCCGAGAGAGAGGGTGTTCCGAGCTGAAGCGTTCTCGATCTCCGAGCTCCCAGTTGCATTCCTTGCAAGGTCAGAGTGTCGGCGGCGGAGGCAGCCCACCAAAACCTAAACGGCCAAACACGTGAGCCAAAATGGCTTGAGCCTTGAGCCAAAACTTCCAGTTGATCGGCAAAGCTTCGTGATCAGCTAAAATCGGTAGAATCGCTCCGAGCGCCTCAGCGCCGGCTCGTATGGTTTGGGTTGCGCAAATCTTCGAAATGTGCCGCAAATTGTTGCACAATGGTCCTGGCGACGAGTCGTCGTAGCACGTCACCAGCGACCAAACTTCGCGTCCCTCCGCCAGGATTGCGGATAGCGACGGGATGCACCAAGGCACAGCCTGCGATTGCCGACTGAGGAAATGTCCGCGTGCCAGGAAAGAAACAACTTCAACGAACAGTTGTGATGCCTTGTGTTTTTTTCGCACGGCTCTTTTCGAACAGTGACGGCGGTCCCATTGCAAGCTAAAGATGCCTCCGGCCTGGACGGCCGCGCCAAGGCGTGTGGCGGCACCCGGCTGCGGTTGAGCGTGGCGTGAAGTGCGAGCTGCGCCCCGTTCCAGAGGGGCAGGCCGTTTGCCACGCGACGACCTCAATGCAACGATTGTCGCTGACGGGAACATCGATGTTAATTTCAGCAAGCCGGACGTTGCAGGCAACTCGCTCGTCACTTTCCCGGCAGATGCGGGCGACCGCATGCTCGAGCGGAATGGCTGACGACGCCAACACTCCGGATGTGCACAAGCGGAGAGGGTCATCATTTCGAGAAGGCTTGCTTCCCTCATCAGTACGGCCTCAGCAAGCGCGCCGGCAGTGAGGCCTTGCCGCGCACCCTCCGCGCCGCTGCCGAGGTCGATGCCCGAGCCACAAGCCATCTGTCGATGCAGCTGGGGCCTTTGACCATGCTTCCCGCCAGGCCATGCTCGACGCCCTGCTGGCCCAGCCGGCGCTGCGCCCGCTTTGCCAGCTCGTACATTGGGTTGACGGACAAGGGGTCACGCAGGGCGGGGCACGAGGCGGCCCCGGAGATTGGCTGCAGAGCTAAGATGCTCGAAAATGGTTCTGCACTGTGAAGCCGTGGTGCCAACGGCCAAAATAGTGCCCAAGTGCCACGGCAGCGCTTGGTGTGTCTCCTCGATTTGGTCATCTATGGAGCCACGGCTAACGCATGCAAACGCTACACGCTCACGGCTGCGACCTACCCGGAACTCCGGAGCGAAGGGCCGCAGAGACTCGTCGTGCTCGGCGGCGAGGTTTGGGTCGCAGTGCTTGCTTCGGGACCTCGTCCTGGTGTGGGCGCGCAGAGGGCCGCTGCTTGCTGCGGTCACGGTGGCGACGATGGTGGAGCATACTCAGCGCCCACAGGCGTATAGGCTTGGATTGTCGCACACACCGAACAGACACGAAGTCCGTGGACAAAAATAACATCCACGTTAAGGGACCACCGCATTGCCAACCAGTTCGGCTACATTCGGGCAGTCGTCGTTAAATTAAACCGTGCAAATATCCACGTGCATTTGGGCTGGAATGTTCGCCCAGCTCTCTGTTGAAGACGCTGACAACCCTTGTTGCGACCCTGGTTCGCCCGCTCCTGGACACAGGCAGTCACAGGCACATCGAGCTGCAGTCTACGTGGCACGCTACGTGCACTCGGTACTCGGTTGGCTTTACTATACCAGCCTGGGCTGATTTGCTTGCTACGAACCCACAAGAAGCGCGGCGACCCGAACGCCACGATGAACCAGGCCTCGCGTCGCACCACCGAACATCTCCGGAATGGCTAAGGACGCATCAGTCGTGTCACATTCACTTTTCTGCTGGTATGGGCTGCGCTGGCATCCTGCGCGAGCACTCCTGCTTGTTTCGCAAGCTGCCCATTGGCGTGGCTAAACCCGGGAACACGCAGGTAGGAGTAGGAGCAGGTGGAAGTAAACATAAGTAAACAGCACCATTGTACAGGACTTGTGCAGATGTTCTCGATGCTTTCTGCATTATTGTGGGTCAAGGGCGTGACGCATCCTGTTTGGGATGTGCAGCGCGGAATCTTGGAAGCACCTAGACATACCTAGACGATTTCAAAGTAGTCCAGAAGTTTGGACTCTCCCAAGCTTGCGGCCACATTCCTACAGAATGCTTCAGCGGAATCAGGAGAATGGGCGCTGGTTTTGCCACGTGCTGCAACTCGACCTCGGACGCTTAGCTGCTTCGTTGTTCGGAGCAGAGTGTCACAGAACAGACGGTAATGGTGCGGGTTTGGCAAACAAGGGTTTCGCATGCGCGTCCTTGTCGCAGGAATCGGCTGAGCTCAAGGTCAGCTCGTCTGCGTTGGGGACGCTCTGCTATAAATGACTGATGACAAGGGTCTTCCGGCATGCTGGGGTCGTCGGGCCTGGGTCCAAAGACCCACAACACAGATCGACAAAGGAAGCATGTGAACAAGAAAACCAGACTGGAGCTACAAGTTTGGTTTGATACTGGTATGGTTTGCATGTGCTGAGGGGTGATGGCGTCTCATCGTCGCGCCTCGGCTGTAATGGCCGTTGCTCTGGCTGCTTACGAGATTCCCAGACGAAGTTGGCCAAGGATGGTTGTTGTGGATGCCCTCGTCTTATCTGCGTCGCGCAGTTTGAGGGTCAAAAAGTTGTTGTCGGGAACGACCCCTTGGCATGGTTGCTCCAAAGACATCTGAGGCGAAGGAATTCGGTGCTCGGTATAATGCAAGATCCACGGCTAGAAGGATGCAGAGATCACCCACGAAGGCTGGCAACAGATTGTTTCGAGGAGAACGCACACTACAGAATCAAGTAGACTGCTTATGCACATGCAGGTTCAAGAGAAGAGTGCAGTCACTGATCTTCCGATTTGCCCACTGCATGGGGTGACTTTGGCCTTCATGGAGGCTCCTTGGGAAGACATGGCCGCACATGTTCGAACCAAGAGAAACGAAGTCGTAATGCGTCGTCGTCTTATCCTGAGGGCAGTGTGTCGTATGCGAATGCAACCGCCCTTTCAAGGAGTTTGGCAACACACACAAGTCCAAGGCACCGAGAACGAATTCAAACACTTGCCGCATGATTTGTCGGACGCCTCGTGGCTGAAGGTCAGCCAGGAAAACTTTTCCATAGGCCAGCTGCCGTTGAGGATAGCAGCTGCTTGCATTGCATGCTGCGCTATCGTTTTGGCAGGTGGCTTGTGCTTCCACATCATCAAGCCACTGACCATGTTCAAGGGTGGCAAGCGTCTATGCTGCAAGTCGCGATGCGTACTTTCATCGTTCTGTAGCCCGAGAAAGCTGCTGCCATGGCTGCTGGGTCATCGTTGGTCGATGCGTTGTTTGCCACCAGCGGTTTCCACAAGAGTTCTGCAGGTGTTTCGGAGTCCTGATGTTTATACCTCCAACACTGGAGCGTGCCGCCGTGGCGTGGCGATTCGGAATCCCAGGTTGTGTATCTCTGCGGAGGACGCTGATGAGCTTCTGTCTTATGCCGAGGCCGAGCCACGTTGATGAATTCATGAGTTGAGCTGGCTTGGCTTCCCGACCACAGCTTAGCTCTGTGGTGTTCTGCAGGTCGGCTTCCGGCAGGACTTGAAGGACAAGAAGAAGCAGCCCTGCTTCATCACGATGGCCGCCCCACTGAAAAATGTGTCCGACGTATGGAGCAGCTTTCCAAGTCCTCGGCGCATTCCAGGCACATCACTTTGTCTCGCATGCTTGGAGGCCGCGATGAATGTGTCTGCTGCGAAATCCGTTCAAGAGCATCATTGGCGTCGTTTGTCAATGACATGTGCTGTACAGGTATAACTATTCCACTTTCTTGGATGCACTGGAAACTTGGGATGCACAGAAAGGCACGCAACATGTCAGATGTGTGGCATGCCCGAAGTATAGCTTTCTGCATCAGGCGGTGGTGTTACAACATACTTTTGGGTGGACGCATTCGCTTGGGACCCAGATTGCCATAGGACGCCGGAGCTGCAAATCATGTACGCATGCTTCCAAGAGGTGGTCAACCAGCACATTGCTGATTCTTATCCTATGGAATGGTGGTCTACGCGATTCGCCCAAGCTGTTGGCCGCCTGCTGGCAGTCAGTCAAGCGGACTAATTCAGCCTCTATTGAAACTTCGACCTCCAACTCGAGCTGAGCTGAGCAACGCTTGCTTACCGTTCGTTCAGAGAGCTGTGAGGAATCTTGAGAATATTAGTTTTACAGTCTCGGATTCTCGACGCTGTGCGTGCCTCGTGCTCGAAGGTGATGTTGGAAGCACCATCCTTGTCTCCATGCCCTGGGAGGCCTTCATCGTTAGACATGATGTTGTTGCAGCACATCCCAATGGTCGCTTTGGTGTCGCGTCTCGAGAGAAGGATCCCACTCCATTGAAGCGAGTTTGGGTCATCTGGGAGATCTTCTGCGCATACCAGACGGGTGCCCGATTCGACATTGCCATGTCCCTCAGACGCACCTATGCAGGAAACGTTACATGTACCACAGCGTATGATGGCGGTGTCTCACTGTGTTCGCACAGTACCAACGGCATCAGTGGCGTTAGACCGCCAAAGCTCCGCGATGCGGAGTGGGTAAGCTGCTCGTATCTGAGGCCCAGGAAGGAACTGGATGGTTTCAGGGCGGTGCCTCGTCAGGTTCAAGATAGCATGGGTGACGAATGTTAGTTGACATTTTGACACCCGAGGTCCAGGGTACTCTGTCCTGACTTGACGCGTTTCCCTTGCTTCACTCGCCAAGGCGCTGATTACATCCTTCCCCAAAGTGCAGACCGCTTTGAGCAAAGTGGATGTGGAGCTTAGCAGTGCTTTCCACAAGAGCCACCAGGCCGTGCTTGAATAAATGCATGCCTTGGTATGCGTCAAAGTGTTTGTGGACACAACTGCCGATGCAGCACTCTGAACAGGATATGGTTCATGACGAGATCAGGCGAACGATAGGCAGCTCGGGCATTCAAGCATGTACAACTGGTCGGCAAAAGCATGAGTGCAACTTAATCAGGATTCACAAAGCTGAACGAAATGGTTCAGCTGCGCATGACACGCTGGCTTATTGGCATGGCCACCAGTGAGCCTGACCCTTTGATTCATCCTCGCTTAGGAGGTCAGCATGAGATTACATGACACCCGACATGTGGCAAGGTTGCAGAGCATGAAGGAGAATGCAACTTCGGCAAACTGGAAGGATCGCATGGGCCTACAGGACAAATCCTGAGCGCTCGGTGCAATGCGTGGCCCTACCGATCTGCGCCGCGTGTAAACTCAGGACAATCTAGCACGTATGCTCAGAGAAAGCGGGAATTTTACCGGCGCCGAGTTTTACTTCAAGGACAGGCATAACTTCTGCATTCAGAAGCGAAGCCTTCCCAGTCCCAACCTGCAGGAGCTCCTGGCAGAGGTTGAGTCAAAGCAGGGCAAAGATCACGCCTCGGCCCTATCGATGAAAGCCACCGAACATGCCCGTGTGTGTGTGTGTGTTCTGTGTGGAAATCCTGTAGCTAAGGATCTTGAGTCGTAAATTGCTGTAGAGAAGCAGGGGGCCATCCCTCTTGTCATTGAAGAGGCCAATGACAAGAGCTGAAAGCGTACCTGCACGAGCTATCGACGCATAGCTCTGTACCTGCATCAAGTTTCACTCGATCGATACTGCTTAGTTTTATTGATATCTTGAGCCTTGAGATCCAACAATAACGGAATTGTATCGTTCATCTAGCGTCATGTCGGAGCTTTCGTAATTCATGAAAACAAAGTTCCAAAATGCTTCAACTCCTAGAAACAGGTAAGTTTTTAATGGATGAGATTCAACAATGAAGACGAAGAAGTGGTGAAAAGCAATGACGAAGAAAATGAACAGGAAAGAAAAGGAGAAGACAACCAGCATCGACCGGGATTCACATGTGTGTTATTCGGCTGGTAATTCTGACAAAGGGCCAGTCGTGACGGATGCGCACAAGCGTGCGCATCCCCTCCCAAGCATACCCGACATGGAATTTGATTACATTCTGGTTTTAGACCAGACTACTTTCCAATGACATAATGCTCTTTAAGGGCTAACGCACTCCCAGGCATACCCCAAACTACAAGCACCCAAGCTTCTCTGATACGTCTATTGCAGGTGTATTAGACTTTTTGTCATAGCCTACCCAAGACTTGGTGATCCAAGTTCAAGCTTACCTAGGATCATTCTGTTGGAATGATCACTTAAAGCTGGTGTATCGTGTTGATAGTATTCTGCTTAGCAGTCGTTAAGCTGATCCATCACGGTTGCGACCCAAAGCATACCCAAGCTATCCGAAGCTGATCCAACTCGCCACCCAACAAGCACCCAGTGTCCGTTACGCTTTGTACCTGCGCGTAGTTTAGAATTGTAGCTTCATTGTCATTGACAGGGATAGTTCCACTGTAGCTTCCGTTCGCCACCCAAAGCTGATCCAGCATTCGTGAATTTTTTGGTCCCGTGTCGTTACAATTCCATTCGAAGCATTCATGCTCAGGGCAAGGCGCTTGTTGTGTTGCGATTGCTGTTCTTCGTTCAGTCGTCGTCGTCGTCGTCGTCGTCGTGTTCCTGTGTTGCTTCTGCTCGTTCGTCGCCGTCTCTATTGTTCGTGTAGATGTTCCAGCCACAGTTATTGTGGTGTTGGTTGTTGTGTCGTTCGGTCGTCGTCGTCGTTGTTGGTGCTCGTTTGCTTACTTCTGTCCTTAGCCCGTTCGCGTCGTTGGTGTTGTCGTTGAGGGTGTGACCTTGAGGGCTTGGTTTTGCAGAGATTCCGCTTTTATTGCTTCAGCTTGTCTAGTTGATCTGTTGACAATTGGTTACAGCCGGGAATGTGTGTCTGTGTGGAAATCCTGTTGCTAAGGATCTTGAGTCGTAAATTGCTGCAAAGAAGCATGCGGCCATCCCTCTTATCGTTGGTGGATGGACAAGATCTGAAAACTATCGACGCGTAGCTCTGTACCTGCATCAAGTTTCATTCGATCGATACTGCTTAGTTTTATTGATATCTTGAGCCTTGAGATCCAACAATAACGGAACTGTATCGTTAATCTAGCGTCATGTCGGAACTTTCGTAATTTTTGAAAACAAAGTTTCAAAAGGCCTCAACTCCTAGAAACAGGTAAGATCCTAATGGATGAGACTCAACACTGAAGACGAAGAAGTGGTGAAAAGCAATGATGAAGAAAATGAACAGGAAAGAAAGGAGAAGACAACCGTCATCGACCGAGATCTACATATGTGCGTGTGTGGGTCTGTGTCCATCCCTGTTCCAAAACGGCTGCATGCAGTTTGAGTCTGGTACCGGGGCCACTGATGAGATCGGCACTAACAAAGACCTTCATCAGATGCTTGTGACGCAGTGGAAAACACTCCGTTGTGTACCTGCAACTTGTGACACCATGCATCATCGTTGAACACCCTCGCTGTGCAACTGCTTCCTTCGACAATCTTGGTGCTTTCAGGTATGAGGTAACAGGTGATCTTTGGCTCCTATTTGTCCTAATTCAGAGCAATGCAACCAGCTGGCTTCGATCTGACCGCTGAGTCTGTGCACAGGAAGGGCATGTTGTACGATGTTCTGTATTTGACTTTCCCTGAAGCTGAGTGATTCACGTGACTTGAGACTTGGGACACATCTTGTTTTTGTGTTGCACGACGGCATTCCGTTAGGGGACCGTGTCTCCAAAAGGTTGCTCTTGTGTTGACTTTCCCGCTGATTCACGATCCATGCTTGCAGTGACTGGTCCCTCGGGACATGTGTGCTGCCAGCGGAAAGGTAGCAACTTGAAGTACACGTGAGCCTGAGTGTGATTGCCACATTGATTTCCACATGACTCTTCCATGAGATGATGAGAATCTAGCTGGCGTTACGTGATTGATTCGGCACCAGGTCTCGATCAATACAGTTTGTTCGACCAAAGTTTGGCGAACAGCAGGAGCAGCTTGTGTTTGTTGTTGAATGTGACTGAGCTTGGAGGCAGCTACCCAAGGTTTGGAAGGCATCAGACTGCAGGATTTGACGTTTGATTGATTGTTCGTGTTTGAGCTTGGAGGGCAACCAGATGTCGGAAAGCATCCGACTTGTTCCATCAGTTCTTGACCAGGAAGATCACTCTCTCCCTTCGTTTCCGTACTCGGAGGCAGGCCTGTTGCTTCACCTTGTCTCTATCTTCATCCTTGTTCGGACAGTCAGAGACTGGGTGCATGCATGCGTCGACCAGTGCCGCGTCCCGCTCTGTTGCGAATCACCTTCATTTACCTCCTTTGGTCTCCTCATTTTGTCCTGTTGTTCATGTGATCCTTGAAGTGGAAGCTTTGTCTCAGTCATCATGGATGATGGACCGTACTCTCATTAGACAAGTTTCATTTGCAAGCGGATTGCAATGGTGTTACGCTTTGCGGAACGAGCCCGTTTCGGGTGTGTGTGTGTGTGTGTGTGTGTGTTTCGAAAGACTTAGTGATTTAGTGCAATTTGAGAGTTTAAAGAACAGCAGGCAGAGGAATCTCTGATTCGAGCAAGCTGATAAACTCGTCTCGTTTGCATCTTAGTGAGCTCGAAACGGCGTGTGTGTGTGTGTGTGTCAATCCGTCAGTCAGTCACTCTCTGTTCCAGAGGTCTGCATGCAGTTTGAGTCTGTGACAGCAGCAGGTGCCGGGGGCACTGATAAGACCGGCACTAACAAAGACGCTTATCAGATGCCGTCACATGCTGTGAAGCAGAGGAAGACGCTCCGCTGTGTGCCACCATACACCGCACAAGCTGTGCATTGGCGTGTTTGGCTTTTTATTGCTAGTAATTCGGCAGCAATGCAACCAGCTGGCTTCGATCTGACCGTTGAGTCTGTGGACAGGAAAGGCATGTTGCACGATGTTCTGTATCTGACTTTCCCTGAAGCTGAGTGATTCACCTGACTTGAGATTTGGGACACATTTTTTTGTGTTGCACAACGGCATTCCCTCAGGGCACCGTGTCTCCAAGAGGTTGCTCGTGTTGACTTTCCCGCTGATTCACGATCCATGCTTGCAGTGACTGGTCCCTCGGGACATGTGTGCTGCCAGCGGAAAGGTAGCAACTTGAAGTACACGTGAGCCTGAGCATTGATTTCCACATGACTCTTCCATGAGATGATGAGAATCTAGCTGGCGTTACGTGATTGATTCGGCACCAGGTCTCGGTCAATACAGTTTGTTCGACCAAAGTTTGGCGAACAGCAGGAGCAGCTTGTGTTTGTTGTTGAATGTGACTGAGCTTGGAGGCAGCTACCCAGCATGCCTGTTTGGAAGGCATCAGACTGCAGAATTTGACGTTTGATTGATTGTTCGTGTTTGAGCTTGGAGGGCAACCAGATGTCAGAAAGCATCCGACTTGTTCCATCAGTTCTTGACCAGGAAGATCATTCTCTCCCTTCATTTCCGTTCTGTTTTCGTTGACATAATACCTTCCGGAGGCAGGCCTGTCGCTTCACCTTGTCTCCATCTTCATCTTTATTCGGACAGTCAGAGACTGGGTGCATGCGCCGACCAGTGCCACGTCCCGCTCTGTTGAGAATCGCCTTCATTTACTTCCTTTGGTCTCCTCATTTTGTCTTGTTGTTCATGTGATCCTTGAAGTGGAAGCTTTGTCTCAGTCATCATAGATGATGGACCGTACTCTCATCAGACAAGTTTCATTTGAAAGCGGATTACAGCAGTGTTACGCTTTGCTGAACGAGCCCGTTTAGGGTGTGTGTGTGTGTGTGTGTTTCGAAAGACTTAGTGATTTAGTGCAATTTGAGAGTTTAAAGAACAGCAGGCAGAGGAATCTCTGATTCGAGCACGCTGATAAACTCGTCCCTGTTTGCGTCTTAGTGAGCTCGAAACGGCGTGTGTGTGTGTGTGTGTGTCAATCAGTCAGTCAGTCAATCTCTGTTCCAGAGGTCTGCATGCAGTTTGAGTCTGTGACAGCAGCAGGTGCCGGGGGCACTGATAAGACCGGCACTAACAAAGACGCTCATCAGATGCTGTCACATGCTGTGAAGCACAGGAAGACGCTCCGCTGTGTACCACCATACATCGCGAAAGCTCTGCATTGGGGTGTTTGGCTTTTTATTTCTAGTAATTCAGCAGCAATGCAACCAGCTGATACCAGCTGGGTTCGATCTGACTGTTGAGTTTGTCGACAGGAAAGGCATGTCGTACGATGTTCTGTATTCGACTTTCCACTTGACTTGAGACGTGGGACACATTGTGTCAAGTGTGTGTATGTGTGTGTGTGTGTGCGTTTGTGCGTGTGTGTGTGTGTGCGCACGCACCGATTTGTTATTCAGGGGTTGGTAGATAGTTTGGCTGAGCGAGCTGTGCAACGGTGTATGTCATTTGTTTTGCGGCGGAGCAGTGCATGACGTTGATTTTTGGCAAATGCAACAACTTCACCCTGAGCCATTTTCTTTATCGGAATTGAGTTTGTGGTTGTTCATGAATGCTTCTACTCAGTCCACAATCCAGTCCTTCAAAGAACCTTTTCCGCCGGTTCGCATTACAGTATCACCTGGTTGCTGTGGCCGTCGATCCTGCAGTGTGGCCGACATCGGTTTTCGTGTGATCTTTCAAGATGCTCGTGTGCGCTGCCTATTACATGGTCACCAGCATCTACACCACTTCAAACATCAAGGCCAGCAGCAAAAAACCATAATCATCGTAGCCACCAGACTTACAAAAGAACCTGCAATGAAAACACCGTCAAGAGGCTCTTGCTGCCATACGTATACCCGACTACACTATGCATCGGGCAACAAAGGCTTATGAGACCACGCAATCGCCAAACCTTCGGTTGAAACGTCCCGACTACATCACCGCACAGGATCAACACGTGCAACGCCGGAGTACTTTATAGCACCGTCAGCGAGGCACCCCCCCACTGAAGCAGTTTCCGTCGGGGAGCTCCTTTCGATGACGTGAGAACATGGGTTCAGGCAGTAACGAAAAGGACAAGTTTGTCAGTGCACCTGTCGATTTTCATGAACGCTTTGCATTCGGGCAACAGGAGCGAAAATTAACTTAGCTCCAGCTGACCTGCCAGCAACCCAGAAGTGGCACAACACAGCCATGCATTGGATGATGTTAAACCTTGGGCCACGGTATACGCCGCCAAGCAGCTTCAGCAGTCATTCTCACCCAACACAACCACACCCTGCAGTGTTTGGCTAAAGGTTTTTGCTTCTTATTATAACAAAGCTTCCAATAATTATGAAGCATTCTATTTCCTATTTTGTTTTGGTTTTAAGGGCGTGGACAGGCAGTCGTATTGCCGCACTCCATGTCCAGCATTCTCACCCAAAGCGCCAAAAGCCACATGTACGCCGCTGTGGCACATCTTTGAGAAATCAGGTGCACCACCAGCGTGTTCGTATGTGACTAGTATGTGAACAGATCAACACAACCGACATCGCAAGCATCCAGTTCATCACTCACACCAGCTCGCAGTGCTGGATGCAGCTCCACCACCCTTGCCATCGGAGGGCCGACCACAGCAGAAACGGTCCACAACTTCGCGCAGTCAGCCCACCGCCACAAGCCGTACCACACGGCCGTCATCAACAAATTCACAGATCCAAGTTCGGACTCAGGCGGAACCTCCCCACTGCAGCCCCGACTAGTGTCCCGACGGGCCTGCGCCAGACCTCAGAAGAATATTGTTGGAAATCGGCGCATCGCACTCAATGTTGGATTGTTAGTTTCATCCCAGGCCCACAGATCGCTTTTTCAACGTTCTTGGATTGCCTAGAATCCAGTTAGGTCAACGGGTTGGAGGAAGGTCAGTTTGCTTAGGTGAGGGTTCGGTCCGAAAGCAAGGTGATGGCCATGAGTGCCTTGAACCAGCTCGCAGCTGCGTGCTCAGCATGATGGGTAGGGCGTCCTTGTCTTGCAATTCGCCGATTGCAAAGGTCACTTTGCAGAAGGGCCACCAGATAGAGGAGGCCATCGGTTGTGACGAGACCTATCGTTTCAAAGTGACGATGTGATTGCGAGTAACTGCAAGCTTGACCACCGTGGACAGACCGCAACATGGTTTCAAATAGAATAGTGGTTGGTGGCATACGTTCTGCTCAAACCCAGCCCAACCCACAGGCTCATCAAGCCACACAGATGGAAAAAGGGCACGACAACTGCATCAAACATTCGACGGGCTGGGCCCGTGACAGCCTTGCAGGCATGTGAATCGATGTCAACGTCTGGCGGGTTTCACGAAAACGGCCACAAGGAGAGTTCCTGGAAGCTCTTGTTGACAGAACGAAGACGACTTGCATTGGTCTATCGGGCCTTTCGCGGAACGGCTTGGGCGACCAAACCTGTCTGGCCGTAGCTCGAGGCAGCCGTTGTGTCTTACCAACTTCCAACTTTAGATCCTTTGATCCACATGTACCGCCCAGGAAGTGGGATCCGCACATGAACATGTGATAACGTGATCTAGCATGTCGGAAGCAGCGCATCGAAAGCTAGGATCTGTTTTCCCCAAACAAATTTAGAAATCTTCTAGACAAGCCCTACAGAGCACTTCTGCCATTTGGGAGGATGTCCCGCAGTTGATGTACAGAGTTAGGGCATGGAGATGTTGGACTCGATTGGAGGGACGACTAGGCAAGATCAGGGTAGCGACATGAACGAGGTGCAGAGGCAGTTTGCCGGCGACGTTTGTATATGTGTTGATTTACAGGAGTCCAGAAGCTGCCTCCTTGGCCAATGCCGCTTGTGTTTGCGGGTTCTTGCTGCGGTTGGGTAGGACTCGGCCTGTCAGTCTGCCAACCACACGTGCTATGACACAAACAGTCACTGGTCCAGGCCATGGATCGGCACAGAGACTGCTTGCAGCGTCGTCGGCGAATTCTTGGAGAGAACCACGAGGCAGTTTTGAAGTTTGCAGTTAACATATTATATTGCGTCTGCGGTTGGCAGCCTCAACAGTGACCCGAGAGCATGAAGGGACATCTGCATGGCCTAGGATTCAAGGTTGTACGCATGTTGGGTTCTGTACTGTGAAGGAAACTCTGCAGAGCATCTCCAACTTGGCCGTGTTGCTGAGCTTACGCAGGCAACGGTTCTCCATTGTGTGTTCAGTTGCATCCAAGTGCCGTTCGTGATGCATCCACACCGGAGGCCTTTGACTGTCGAGATCTTTGACGAAGCTCGATCTCTGTACAGTTTCTTGTCAGCTTTCAGTCGGCAGACAAACAATGCTTTCTGCTTCGCTGGCTGAGGCTTGGCCGTGAAAGGTCGAGAGGCAACCATCGGGGCAAAGGATCCTAGGACGCTGTACACGCACGGGGCTAAGCTGTTAGCTTCGGCATTTCGAACAACACCGCGTGAAAGGAAGACCCGGGGCATGTTTGCAGGTTGGAGAAGGAAGGGAGTTGTGTAGTCGGAGAATGGCTGCTTGAGAGTCCGTGTGGTTTGGGTCTCAGACCTCACTATGACGTGTGAACATCATGTGGTGGGGAAGGCGATGTGCTGAGCAACGGGAGGAGGCATTGTCGAAGACGGAACCTGTTTTGTCCAGAATGCAGGGTCAGTATCAAGGAGCTGTGCGTTCTTGGCATTCGACCATCACCCTGACCGCATAACCACACTTTTTCTTTGTGCCCACAGCGAGCAGGACAGCATTCTGCCGCCACTTAAACGTATGCGTCTGGCTCATAAGTGCTAAGCTCAGGCAGAGCAACTTCGCGCGTTTTCTGTCGGAGGCAGAAGCTTCTTTCAATTCCAGGTCGTAGAGTTCGTTGCAAATGCCAGCAGGCACCGGTACCTTCGGCAGAGCTCTTCGCAGAGTCCGAGCAGCTCCATGAGCGTGCGGTGGAAAACCTCACAGCTGCTCTGCAACAGGTGCATGTGGTGACATACCGTATCATGACGTGGTAGTTAGGGCGATGTTCCTCCGCCTTGGCAGGGACACCCGCTGACGCTGGCATCTCTTCACAACCAAGCCTGTTCTTGGATTGACCGATGCTTCCACGAGGAGGGCAGCCTCACAGGACACAGTGCGAAGTATTGCGAAGTGGTGGTCTTCAGATGAGTTTGCAGCCCATATCGTTGGCAGGAAAGCGTGTCGACACAGCTGTGGAACAGCGACTTGGCAAAGCCTACAGGTTAGGAAGTTTCGCGTTGACACCTTCAAGTCAGTTGTTTTCCTTGTCTCACCGTCACCGGCAGGCTTCGCCTGGTGCACAAGCTGCGGATTGAAAAGCTTCTTGGCATTCGGATTCACAGATGTTCGGCACTTTGCGGTCTCCTATGTGTGCGGACCCCAGGCTTGGCAAGGAGCATCCGGACACGCAGCAGACAGAAAAGAAAATATCAGAGATCAGCAACCTCCAGAAACAGTCTCCTGCTCAGTGTCTCATCCGACGGTCAGCTAGCCAGTTGACTTGCAAGCTATCACAGCTCAACTTAGGATGGAGAAAGATGGCGCCAACCATGGAGCCATGGAGGCTTTTGGCACATGGCAGGAGCTTCTGCAGTCAGTTGGAACTCGTTACATGAGAGTTGTTGTGCACATGGCTTCGGGCAGAAAGAAATGGCTTGAAGAGCGTCACGGGGAGGGTGTTACCCTCCCGAGCAGGGCTAGATGAATCAAGCCAAGGTACTGGAGTGCTTCGAGTGCGCGGCTCCGCGAACCACTGTTGAACAAGTACAACGTTGTCGTCAGTCAGTTGGAACTCGTTCGACCCATTTCTCCAAAATCATCCGTTGTTGAAATGGCCATGATCATCCACGAAGAGCTGGCCGTCCGGATCATCACCAGAAACATCACCCTCACGTGATCTAACGTGTGTAAGTTCCTTTGGTGGTGATGTTGGTGATGGTCGTGTAGGCTTCGCCTCCTATTCCTAGTCCTACTCTTATGCCATTCTAACTCCTCCTCCTACTCCTACACCTACTCCTGCTTCCACTCCTACATACTCCTACATGTGCTCCTACTCCTGCTCCTCCTACTCCTCCTACTTCTAGTCCTACTCCTACTCCTCCTACTCCTACTCCTACTCCTACTCCTACTCCTCCTACTCCTACTCCTCCTACTCCTACTCCTACTCCTACTCCTTCTACTCCTCCTACTCCTCCCACTCCTCCTACTCCTCCTACTCCTCCCACTCCTCCTACTCCTCCTCCTCCTCCTACTCCTCCTCCCACTCCTCTTCCTCCTCCTCCTACTCCTCCTACTCCTCCTACTCCTCCTCCTCCTCCTCCTCCTACTCCTCCTACTCCTCCTACTCCTACTCCTAACTCCTAGCTCTTGCGCCAACTACAACGCGTACTCCTAAGGCCTAACTTCTAACTCAAAACTTCTAACTCCTAACTCCTACCTCCTAACTTCTAGCTCCTAACTCACTACTCCTACCTCCTAACTCCTCCTGCTCCTACTCTACTCCTGCTCCTACTCCTGCTCCTACTCCCACTCCTCGTACTCCTATTTCCCAACTCCCAACTCCTAACTCCCCACTCCTCCTACTCCTAATCCTAATCCTACTCCTATTCCTACTACTCCTACTCCTACCCCTCCTCCGACTCCTACTTCTACTCCTACTCCTACTCCTCCTCCAACTCCTACTCCAACTCCAAGTCGTACTGCTTCTGCTGCTCCTGCTCCTGCCCCTCCTACTCCTCCTACTACTCCTCCTCCGACTACTTCTACTCCTGCTCCTGCACCTACGCCTATGCCTACGCACGCCTGCGCCTACGCCTTCGCCCACGCCCACGCCCACGCCAACTCCTACTCTATAGTCCTATACTCCTACGCCTACTCCTACTCCTCGCCCTCCTACTCTTGCTCCTCCTACTCCTCTCCCTACTCCTACTTCTTCTTCCACTTCTCGTTTTCCTTCCACTTCCGCTGCCGCTTCCACTTCGACTTCTACTTTTACGTCTACGTCTACCACTACCGCTACCGCTACCTCCACCTCCACCTTGACCAAAACCTCCACCTTGACCTCGACCTCTACCTCTATACCTCTACCTTTACCCCTACCGCTACCCCTACCCGTACCCTTGCCCCCACCCCCTCGACCTCCACCTCGACCTCTACCTTTTCCTCTACTTTCCTCTTCGACTTCGGCTTCGACTTGGACTTGGTCTTCGAGTTCATCCTTTTGTAGTAGTAGTAGTAGTAGTAGTAGTAGCAGTAGTAGTAGTAGTAGTAGTAGTAGTAGTAGTAGTAGTAGTAGTAGTAGTAGTAGTAGTAGTAGTAGTAGTAGTAGTAGTAGTAGTAGTAAGTAGGTGTTGTTGTTGTTGTTGTTGTTGTTGTTGTTGTTGTTGTTGTTGTTGTTGTTGTTGTTGTTGTTGTTGTTGTTGTTGTAAGCCTCTCGGCTCAGGAAAGGTCAGGCTAGTACAGTTGCCTTTTTCCTTTCTTGCCATGGCATTTGTCAGCGCCTGAGCAGTCCCGGTCCCAAGTCCGGGAGGGAGTATTAGATTTACAGCTCTCTAACATCTCCCAGAGGTGAGGGTTGTCGGTATTGCGAAGCCGACAGGAGCCGTACTCAACATGAGTGCTGCGAAACAGCCTAGTGGTTCGACCAAGCATCAGCCCGTTCCTAAAGGGAAGGGTAAACGCTCTTATCAAAGGGCAGCACGTAAAGCTCTGCTTGAAGGTAGTGCGGTCTACAAGGGAAGGACGATGTCGTCAACAGAGCTTGGAGTTGCTCCGGCACATGTAAAGCCCACCAATCCCGGCAGAAGGACTCGGACTTCAAAATTTACAGAAGATAAGAATCTCAGCTATCTATCCTGGAACGCAGGATCTCTCACAACAGCAGGTTGGGAAGAGTTACTCTCCGTACTGCAAAGTGCCGCATTTCAGGATGTGAAGCTGGTAGCAATTCAGGAAACACACTGGAGGGGCTCTTGGCAATTCAGCAAGTCAGGCTGGCACGTGATCAGCTCTGGTTCCACAGGGGAGAAGGGGGCCGGGGTCCTCATAATGGTGCACTCCACGCTGTGCAAGTCACAGGATCTTCGCTACAACGAGGTTGTTCCAGGAAGAGTTCTCCAGGTCCGGGTGCCGAGCAACGGCATCTCACTGGACGTCTTCAGCTGCTATCAATACGTTTGGCGCTCCAAGGAGACAGTCGCTCAGAATAAGGAAACCCGGAGGCAGACCCTTCACTCCCTAAGTAAGTCCATCCGAGCTGTTCCCAATCGCAACACTCTCCTTGTGCTAGGAGATTTTAACTCCTCGCTCAAAACCGACAACAAACACGTAGGGCCATGCACGATCCAGGCTTGCAGACTCGGGCATCGCGGATCTAAGGATCTCCAGACCCTACTGTCGGAGCACCAGCTAGTCGCAACCAACACTTGGGGAGTGCATAGACCAGCCACCCACGAACGAGGCAACTCTGTTTCACAGATTGACTTCTCGTTTGTCAGGATTGCACAGTCCCAAGGCCCCGCCAGGTTTTGCCGGCCACTAAGGACCTTCCCAGTTGCATCTTGGAGGGATGGTAGTAGGCATTTCCCCCTTCTTGGTAAACTGAGGCACAGCAGGAGATACTCCGCCCAAGCCTCAAAACCCTATGACCAGCAGGCAATGGAGGACTGCTACAGACAACGTTCCCCGAAAATACAGGCATTTGCCAGGGAGGTAGACTCCCTCCTTCAGGATCATCCCCAAACCTGGCAGAGTCTCCATCAAGCAATGAACTCAGCCCTCGCGCCTCACTTTCCCAAGAGAAAGGAAGCAGCACAAAGATCAGATCTCAGCATCTGGGAAGAGCGCTCTGTGTTGCGCTCACTCCCACTAGCAGTCAAGGTCTTAGCAGAGTTCTTGCCCGGGCTGCAGGTCCGTATGGTGTTCCGATGCTGGTGCTCGTTCTCCCAGCAAAGTGCACAGGCTAGGGTAGCAAAGCGTCACAAGCAGGAGCGGCGGCGGCAGGAAATAGATGAACAACTCCAGCAGGCAGAGCTTAAGTCCAAGCAGGACGGGAGTCATTCCCTTTACAAGGTAATCAAGCGCTTCAGGTCGGGGAGGCCCCAGGAAAGAGTTCAGCTTCGTGATTCTGAGGGTCGCTTCCTTACTGACAAGGAAGAAAGAAGACAATTAGAGGAATATTCCCTAGACCTGTTTGGAGCAGGGGATGACTTCCCGCTTTCAGGGATACAAGGCAGCCTGCACATCACAGAGCACGAAGTGCAAGAACAGCTCGGCACAATAAAGCTTGGCAAGGCGGTTCCTAAAGAGAGTCCTCCCGTGGTAGCCTGGCGCTCCCTAGGTCCCCAAGCAATCCGGCTAATCTCGGACACCCTTAATAGGGAAGTCACTGCAGGAAGGCTCTCGGACAGTGTCACCTCGTCACAGATCTCCTGGCTCCCAAAGCCTCCCAAGAAGCCAGACAAACCAACCTCACTCCGTCCGATCGGGGTGATAGCGCCTGAGGGTAAGGTCCTAGCAGGACTCGTGAGGAAGAGACTCAAGTCTACCCTTCAGCAAGCAATGACCGGCGTCTCTCAGTTCGGCTTTGTCCCAGGCAGGGGCACAGAGGAGGCTATCTGCAAGGCCCTCACACATGTGGACCAGGCCAGGTTCAGACATGCCCTCACCACTAGGGCTGCAGGTAAGGGACAACAGGGGCTCAAGCTCAGAGGCAGTCTCACCATGAGCGTGGACATGAGCAAAGCTTTTGACACTGTAAACAGGCTGCGATTAAGAGAGGACCTGGAAGCCGAACAAGCAGATCCTCTTCTGATAGAGGTGATAGGCCATCTCCATATCAAAGCCTTGTATAAGATGACAGCCAGCGATCAGAGCTTTGAGATAGCCACACGCAGGGGAATCAAGCAGGGATGTAAGCTAGCACCCTCTTTATTTGCCTTTGCATCAGGGCTTCTCTATAGGAAGCTCTCTGGGAAAATCAGCCCAGCAGAACTAGTGAAGCTTCTCACAATGTACGAAGATGATAGCTTGATCCAGTCGCATTTCGACTCTGAGGCCGCCCTCATGACAGCACTAGGGTACTGCGACCTGCTTCTGGATCAGCTGGTAGAGCTTGGGTTCAAGGTCAATCCGTCCAAGTCAGCAATTCTGCTACAGCTGCAAGGGGGCTCAGCCTCGACCATCAGGAAGAAACTCTTTCGCCAGGTCGAGGGAGAGAAGTATGTTGAACTCCCTTCGGGCAGGCTGATATCGCTGCGCTATCAGGTCCCATACTTGGGGGTCATTCTTTCTTATCACGACTATGAAATGAAGACTCTCAAACATCGGCTGTCATCCAGCAAGCTTGCAATGTCAGAAGTAGCCCATGCAGTTCGGAACCACCGAGTCTTATCAGACAGACGTCGTCTGTCGATTTGGACAATAACTGCGTGGGCCTCTGCTCTGTATTCACTCCACGTGGTGGGGATGACACAGCAGGGATTGCAAAAGCTCCATTCACACATGATGTACCAACTCAGATTCGTCCTGCGGAGTTACTCCCAGGAAACGAAGGAATCAAACCAGCAGTTACTCCGGAGATTACGGATTCCTCACGTGAAGGAGCAGCTGCAAAAGAGAATGACCCAGTTTATAAAGAGACAGCAACACTCCGATCCCCAGCTTCTCCCACACTATAAGTTGCGTGCTGAGGCAGTTAGCCAGGCA